TGTGATCTCCAGCCCATAGCCTTGGCTCAGAGGAATGGCACATGGCCTATGATCTGCCAGTTTCATTTCTTTCTTTTTTGTGTTAAGGATGCACCCATTTTTTGCACCAAGAGCCCACAGTCCGGATCTCTCCCTATAGATCAATCTATATCAGAGCTATGAATGAGTCTCAATATGTATTCTGTGGATGCCTTTACACTGTGCAGTGCTGTGATGCATGCTGCATGCTGCATGCTCCTTTTGCATGCTTCTAATCTTGCACATTTGACAAAATTTGCTCTTGGTCAATGGTTGAATGCATTCTCCTTGAACCCATCCCTTTACTGCTGCTGTCTGCTGCTATCTTGAAAAAGATGGGATTTTGTGTTACTTTACAATTTTTACTTTAAAATACAGACACAACCTGAGCTCTGAGGGGAGAACTCTGTGGGAGTTAGAAGATGGAATTCATTTGGGAATGGTAGTAAAGCACCATGTGAATTCTAGTGAGGACCCTGAAAAGTATTCCTGAATTTTATCAGCAATTGTGGAGAAAGTCTAGAAGCAGAGCTCTGCGTATTGTAATCTATAGAGCGGCAGAATCTAAGGGTTGAAACAGGAGTCTAAAAACAATTTCAACTGCTAAAAACAACAAAATACATTTTAGACAAAAGTAAGCATTGTTTTCTTTCAAAGATTTTATAGTCTGACAATCCTAGCTACATTAATGTGAGAATAGATTCCAAGATTGTTGTGCAATAAACTTTCCAGTCGCATACTTTGTAGTCAATTGGACTTTTATGTAATTATTATGTACAATTATTTGTAACCAAATTTCCGCACTGCTGATGGAAAATCCATAGCATCTGTGCATAGAAAATGTTGGTTGAAAGAAAAATGAAGTAGAACAGCAGTTCATTAGTATGGATAACCTGAATAATAGAGACAACACAGGAAAAAGTCTCTAAGCTCAGAGTTCTCCTCAAGGCTCTTATATTCCTCTGTGCATGACAAACTGGAAAGTGAAAGCGGTCCTAGATTCACACATTTCTGCTTGAATTTCTCCAGAGATTACTACGAATGGATTTACCTGTGGCAGACGACAACACGGTCCATTTCAATTCTACTCTGATGGCATTGATCAGGACTGCCCTTGACATCAAGATTGCCAAAGGCAAGTGCCATTTCCATAGATCCAGCTATTTTGCGAGCAAATGAAAGTACTGTGGAAAATGAGACTAAATAAAGCACATTTTCAGATACTGATACTAATAATGAGGTAATGTTGAATACAAATGCTGCTTGTGGCAATGCCTTATACAAATAGGGGAAATGATGCAGAATAAGTACTCTGCAGTGTTGACAGCTTCAGGAAGGCAAGAGAGCATCAGGATTAAAAAAAAATACTTTCACATGTGCATTATTAATTAATTGATTAATTAATAATTCCTAGTTTATAGTTCTGTTGAGACTTTGTTGTAGGAATCTGCTTCAGTTTTTTTCTTCTTTTGACACAGTGCATTCATACACCTCAATACATTTCTCTCTTTATTTAGAAAATTAGAAACATGAGGCAGAAAATGGTGCTAGAATCCACCTCTCTTGACTTGCCAGATGATTATAGAAATATTTACAGATCAGAGACAATCAGAAATGCTATTTTTCACCTCTAATTTGAATTGTTATTGTTAAATAACTAAACATTTTTAAAGAATACTTTTATCAAATTTGAATATAAACTGTAATAGCATTTTTAAAAGCAAAATTACTGATAGTGTTGTCACTGCTAAAAAGTAAATGTTTAACATTTCAATGGGAAGAGGTAGAGTTGGGATGTCTAGCCATTTGTTTTTTCTTCTCATTCCTGGTTTAAATCTTCTAGGCGGAGCTGACAAACAGCAGATGGATGCTGAATTGAGGAAAGAGATGATGGCAATCTGGCCCAACCTATCCCAGAAAACTCTAGATCTTCTGGTCACCCCTCATAAATGTAAGAACTTTTTAATCATTACTTTCAAATTCAGCCTTATCTATGACAACGCTACCTATTTCTACCTTTCTGTCATTTTCTCAGTGTGCAAATACTACTTTATAATCCTACCATTATAAATAAAAACATGAGAAAATTATTTTGAGCAAAAAATAACTTTTCAGAAAGCTTATGAAAGAAATATTTAAAAACAAATTTCTAATTCAGTACTTTACTTTAATTATTATAATCTTTCCTGAGAGAACATAGGTATAGTTTCATATCTTCATTTTTATCCTCGCTCTATTTAAAACCCATTTTAGCATTAAAAATAATATTGTGTTAAAAACTATTTTTAACTACCAGTATCAGCTTTTGGATTCCTTTTCTTGAAATTCATTGTAACTTATTTCAGCTTTGTGGTTATAACTGATATCATTTCATTTTGCTTTATTTGTATGCCGCCCTTTTCCCTGGGAGGGGAAAAACAGACAAGTTACAAAACATAAAAACCATACACAATTAAAAAGCACAACAATCATACCATTCG